GGGGAGAAATTAAACTTTTTTTTTTTCCCCTTAAGGGTCCAAATCATCAGTGGAAAATGCATATTTTACATAAATTTGCACTACGTGTCCTTTAAAAAAAAAAAAGAACTCCGGCACTATACGTCTGCCAGGAGAACTTGCAGAGTTTCACAGGAGGGTTTTCATGGGGTTTGTTTGGGGACTTTGGGCTGACCTCCAAGCCTGCACGTGGGTCAGCCCCTGCTTCGAGGAGCCCTTTGCCTCTGCCGGGGCAGCCTGGGCAGGAGGCTGGGCCCCCATCCCCACCCCACCAGCCCGGGTTTCTCCTGAGATGAGAAACAGGAGGAACAAGCGTCGACCCACCTTTCTGCTGGATTTCAAAAAGCCGCTGCTGCCAGAAGCTCCGGAAAGGGGCGATGCCGGTGCCGGGGCCGATGAGGATGCAGGGCACCTGGGGGTCCTGGGGCAGGTGGAACCCGGGCGCGCTGCACACATCGAAGACGCCGGTTAAACGCAAGCAGGACGCTCCCTCCCTCACCTCTGCCCGCGGCAAGCTGAGACACCACCCATGGGGGGGGGTGTAAAATATGAGGGGAAATCCCAGTTAAGTGACATTTTAGTGCAGAAGAACTGGACCCGAGGGGGGACCCATTTGCTCAGAAATACAGCCCTGTTTTCTCTGCACCCTTAGTGCTTTGCAAAGCAGGATCGAAGGCAAAGAGCTCATCCTGCGAGGGGGCTCACCCCGTCTTTTTCACCCCTTGCCTTGTGTGGACCACTTACCCTCTTACGAAGCAGGGCACTACTTCATCGGCCTGGATCCGATTGAGCCAAGAGGAGCAGACTCCGTGGTGGATTGGTCCTTCTCCATCTAGGAGGGGAGAAAAGGAGGTCTGTACTTGACACACCGGCCAACTACTCCAGCTGCTTTCCTTTCTGAAACCCTCCCTGCTGCTTTCCACACGAAGACCTCACGGAAAACTTTACTATCTCTGCATCCATCCCCCGCGAACATGGTAGAAGTTTGGCACTTGGATCCCTCTGTGGAGTCACCCAAGTTCACCCAGGACCCAGCCCTGGGATAGCTGGACCTCCACATGCTTGGGAGGCACCCAGCTTCTCTTTGGTGCTTGTTGGCAGAAGCGGCATCGTGCTGTAGTGCTTCCGGACACAAGCCCTCCATGGCAGCCCCAGCCAAATGGCCAGCGTCTTCCTCTGTGTCCTGCCTGCTGCAGGGGTGATGGGGCTGTGTCCACCTACACCACGACCAGGATTGCTTGGACACATCAGTGCTTGCACAGGTACAGAAATCTGGCCGGTTGTGGCAACGTGGACTTTGGTGCGGGCAAACAAATGATCCCACGTGGAGCTTGGAGCCATCGTGGCTGGTCTGTTGCTGGTACCTGACCCAGATCTGGCATCTCTGCCCTTTGACGGGTGGTCATCCTCCATAACATGGGACAGCAGTGTTGAAGGAATCTAGTCACTGCAGCAGGTAGAAAGGCTTTAAAACAGCATCCCTCTGCCAAAGACCTTGTGGTGTTGCCCCTGTGCTAATGCTTTTTCCCTGCTCTCCACGCCAAGCCTGTCTCCGCTGACCCCTGCATGAGCACGGTACCTCTCGTGCGATAGGAGACCACTGCCACGGTGAGGTGGACCTCGCCCGGGTACATCTCTGGGGAGGAACTGATGGAGTAGTAGCGTGGTTGGAGGAGGGGGAGCTGTGTGAGCAGCAGCGTGGAGGGCATCTGTACTGAGGGGAACTCCTCCAGCACCTCCACGATGGTGGGGTTCTTGGACCACTTCCATTCCTCGTACTCCTGCAAGCCCTGCAGCCGGGGGAAGAGGGAGGGAGGGAGGCAGGGAGGGAGGGAGAGAGGGAGGAGAGTGCTGCAGCATCAGCTTCTTCCAAGCCAGGTGCCTCCACTGATATCCCACCGGGCCTGCGGCAAAGCTGGGGCGGGTGTCACTGCTAGAGACTCAGCCCAACCGCACTGTGGGATGAAAATGCCCTGGGGTTCTGGTTGTCCCCAGGGCCTTGGGGCTTGGGGTCTGAGGCTTTACCTTGCTAAGGACCTGCAGACGCTTCTTCTCCTTGTCACTGGTGGCCAACAAAGCAAACTGCTGCAGCAGCAGGGGTGTGGGAGGGGTGGTGATGTCCAAATAGTACTTGAAAGCCTGGAAGATGGTGCATGGTGGGACACGGTTCTCGTCTGTCCAGTTGCTGATGACACCTGCCAGGAGGGAATTCAGCACAACCACGGGATCAGCTGAGCGTAAGAGCCAAGGGGGACAAAGCCTTGCTTTCATTCCCCCTTACCGGCTCTGAGACAGTGAGTGATGAAGAGCTGGAAAGAAGAGTCAATGAGATATCCTCATGCTACAAGTGAGATGCTGTACAACAAACTCGAATACGAGTCTGATACGCCACCACCTTCAGCCTCGGTCACGCTGAGTTAATACTGTTTTCCATCTCCTGTTACACTATGCATGGCAGTAGGGTGTCAGACTTATCCCTGAAATATGGTGTCGGGATGGTCCATCAAGATCCCTTAACTCTTCTTTCCAGCCCTAGACATTGCTCTTGCCATGAGAATATAAAGACCTTTAATTTTTCTGAAGAAGGAGGAAACATCTTCTCCCCAGGGCCCTGCTCACCCTTCAAACCCTTGCCCTATGCTCCAAATGCAGATGAGCAAAGGAAGGTTGAAGGAGACGCTCCCAATCCAGGCACATGCACCAGTGAGATGGGAAGTGGTTTCTCCTCGAGGGCTACACCTACCTCTCTGAGGAGCTACAAGAACCACTACAAGGGACGGGTGGCCCTGGTTACCTAGAGCTGTGTTCCTCTCCTCCAGGAGCTCCAGCTTCACCAGCTGGTTGGCCGGAGGGGCGTCTTCAAGCCTGTCGATCAGGGCATTGACCAAGTCTTCATGGTTCCCTGGAAACACGCCCAGGTGGTCGCCGGGCAGGTACTGCAGTTCCTGGTGTCCGTTGGTGTGGAGGCGCAGGAAAATCGTCAAGCGGCTACGGGGAAAGGAGAAAAAGCAGGATGTGTTTTGGGGGAGCCCTCCGGGGAGTCACTGAGCTCTGGCCTCAAGAGCCGCTGGGTGTGCTGGACAGTAGTGGCATCTCCGAGCCCTGGTGCCCCACCGGGCAGGTCACCAGAGTCGCAGCGGGGAGCTGGAAAGGACACTGCAGCGCCCGCCTCCCCTGCCGCCCACTCACCCTCAGGGACTTTTTAAAAGGGAAAAAGCCAGTTTAACCTCTTGCTTCAGCAATTTGATTCTCTCTTTGTGTACACCCTGCCGCTCCACAAGTGCGGCCGCCCATCTCCTCCTCACAGGCGGCCGGTTAATCCAGGTAGCAGCAGAGATTTCACCGTCTAGGAAGGCAGGAATCACCCTTCACTGGGTTAACGTGGCTTCCAGCCTTGGTCATAACTTGCACAACACGGCACCGTGGGACACGCAGGGGCCACGGGGTCTTTGCAGCACCGTGTGCCTGGGGGCTCGGGCGCACCACGGGCGCGTTCAGCTCCCGCAGGTCCTGGGGAAGCTCCTACCTGGACTTTGGGCTCTGCAGGTTCTGACGTGTGATAAGCCGGGCTGCGTAGACGCGTTTTTTGTGGATGGTGCACAACCCTGCGCAGGAGGAGAGCGAGTCAAGCGGCGCAGCAGAGCACGGCCACGGCGGGCAGCTCCTGGCTTTCGCAGGGCTGTTGGCTGCCGCCGCGGGTTCAGCCCTTCGGACCGGGGGATCGGGAACAACTTTGGGCTCTGCAGGTTCTGACGTGTGATAAGCCGGGCTGCGTAGACGCGTTTTTTGTGGATGCTGTACAACCCTGCGGAGGAGGAGAGCGAGTCAAGCGGCGCAGCAGAGCACGGCCACGGCGGGCAGCTCCTGGCTTTCGCAGGGCTGTTGGCTGCCGCCGCGGGTTCAGCCCTTCGGACCGGGGGATCGGGAACACCAGGGAGGAACCGAACATGCGTGTCCCTTCCGTTAGCGACTGAGGAGGACTCCGAAACCAGCCGCAGGAGGTGCGGGGACGTGCCCTCACGTGCGGGCATGCACCTCTCGCTGCCGGTGCCGCCCGGCTGGTAGCGAAGCGCCTGAATTTGGGAAGAGCTAAAGCCAGTGCGGCAGATCATCAGCTGCAGGAGCCGTGCTGAGGGGCCAGGTGCCGGTGGGCTGGACCTGCCGTCGCACCGCAACGCTCGGCGGAGCGGCATTTGGACAAAGCGAGCTTGGAAAGCTCCCAGGTTTCCAGCTCTTTGCTGCAAAAAACGGGGTCAGGAGGAGGGAGATCAGATCATAGCCCAACATCTCGATTACTGACACAGCCAGGGACCAGCCAGGGGCGGCTGAGACCATCACAGACTCCTCCTTGGGCATGTGATGGAGGCGAGACTGAAATGCTGGGAATTTAACACAGAACGGGTAAGGAGATTTGGCCCCTCTGCCCCAACTTGAGCCCACGATGTCTTCTCCTCCCCCTGCCCCATGCCCAGAGCCCTCTGGGGTGGTCCCATCTGCGTACCTTGTGTGAGTTCCGGGGCTTCAGCCACGTAGGTCAGGCGAAACTTGCTCCTTTTCCAGCTCCGGTCGTTGCTGATGAGGGAGTTGTTTGCTTTCTCGATGTTGACGTCGTCCCCCACGCAGAACACGTCGCACGCTGCCTGCAGCACGCACCAGGCTCTCAGGCATCTCCCCGCTGACCCTGGGCTTTCTGACCGAGCCCCACGACCCGCTTGGTCCCACCCACGTCAGCCGACACACGGAGGACATCAACATGCCAGCGGCCATGGGCACCTCTCACGGTGCCCCCCTCCCCGGGGCATCTGGGGGAACCCCGGAATTCAACGCAGAAAAAAGCCACCGGCGATGGGCACCTCTCACGGTGCCCTCCTCCCCGGGGCATCTGGGGTAACACCGGAATTCAACGTAGCGCTCGCCCTTTGGCAGCCAGCACAAGCCAGAGCGTCAACTCCACCGAAATACAGAGAACCTCTTTATTGCGGGCCGGGGCGATGGGTGTCCCGGCGGAGGGAAGGAGAGGTTGGGTTTTGATCCAGCTCTAACCAGCAGCTTTGCTTCGTCCCTGCGCCCCGCGACCCCCTGCTCCTCCCCGGAGCACGAGGCGAGCGGGTTACCTTGAAGACCTTCTTGGCCCAGGTCCTGAAGGACTCCTCTTGGCCACAGAGCTCATCGCCTTCTCCCATGCGGAGGATCCGCTCTCCACCCAGCTCCTCCAGGAGAGTGTCCACCGCCCGGGCAAAGGCGCAGAAATGGGGGTAAGCACGCGACCCCAGCCCAAACACGGAGAACCTGCGGAGAGGTGACACAGCGGTGGCCATCGAGCTGGGAGGGACACGCCGATGCCTCCCCCTCCTGCTCCACCACGGCCAACACCAGCACGAGGGAGCGTGGAGTTGACGCACCGGTGGCCACCGAGCTGGGAGGGACATGCCGATGCCTCCCCCTCCTGCTCCACCACGGCCAACACCAGCACGAGGGAGCGTGGAGGGACCCGCACGTTGCAAAAATACGTCACGTGTTAGGTAAGAGCTGCGGTAGGAGAAGGAGGCTCTGCGCAGCACCGGCTCCTGCTCTGCCCCAAGAGGTTGACCCCGTCCTATTTACCTGACATTAGCCAGCGGCCCCGTGCTTTCAAAGTTGTCCCTGGGGTCGGGGCCATCGCTTGAGGATTTCCGCGCGTCCGAGTAAGAGGAGACGCTGTTGAAACGGACCTTGTAGCTCCTGCGAACGGCAACAGCACCAAGTATTACCGCGGTGGTGAACGCGCGTGTGGTTCCCACCAGCCGCGCGCTCGGAGGGGACTGGGTTGTGGAGGAGACCGAAGCAGAGCAGGCTCAAGCTAAGGGCTCGGTGTTTCCTGAGCAAGCCCTGCGGTCGGTGGCTGCGGAGGAGAAACGTGCTCGCTCCTGGGGGTAAGCCGTAACAGCCCGCATGTGGCGTCCCCAAAGCTGGACCTGGTCTGCTCCCTGGGGTCCTCCAGTCACCTCCCGGCGGGCTGGCCCGGGTGTTGGCCACCACATTGTCCCCAGAGGTGCCGAGCTGACTGGACCTTCGGCTTTACCTGTCCTGCCCTGGTGGCACACAGGGTTGGGTATATGTCTGAACAGATATTCCGAAGGACTTTTCATTCATAGGAAGTAAAAAAAAAAAAGAAAAAAAGGAATGAGAGAAGAGGGGATGAGGAGGGGGAAGGGGAACGGAGGAGAAAATCTGACAGCAGCAGAAGTATTTCTGAATTGAACCATCTTCAAAAAGTGCTCTACACAAGAGTTTCTAAATATACTGCCAGAGCAACGAAGCAGTAGTGTGTGGGTGAGTCACAGAGAGCTCCTGCGTCCGGCGCACCATGCAGAGGAGACAACCCCCGAGCAAAATTACTGCCAGGGTCGCCGAGCCGCGCGCTCCACCTCCGCTCCAGAGCCCCCTCCTTTCTGCCCAGACCCCTCGTGCTCTTCTGCTTCGCCCCACCCGCAGGCAGCCGCTTCTTTCTGCGCGGTCCCGGGGCCGTGTCCCCACCCGGCGTTACGTGGTGAAGGCAGGGCAGCGCAGCCCACCGGTTTAGAGGGGCCTGAAGCCCAAATTCCCCCGCGGGTGCTGGGCCCAAGGGTGGGGGAGCAGCAGCTTTTGCTGAAATGAATAGGTCTTTGCGGCGGGGACGCCTGTGGAAGGACGGGCTGCGTCTGAACGGGAGTGGGGTCTGCTACCGCACGGCTCTTCTGTCTCCTCTGCTCCAGACGAAATAGCTCTCGCCCTTTTGATCTGTCCTCGCAGGTCGCCGTTTCCAGCA